CCCCCACGAAATCACATTTTGCCCCCACAGGAAAAGTCCCTTTTTCCTAAAATTATACAAACAATCCAGCGAAGATTAACAAATAGATAAACGGAAAGTAAGTTTTAGACTTTATCCTTTGTTCTTGTTTAACAAAATCGATTTAAATTGTTACTTTTTTTACCACTAAGCCATGATAAATTATTGTTAATATTTTTTTTTTTTTGGATGCTCAGAATGCAGAAAATAACATTTCACGGTTTCAAATTTCAAAAATTTTCTTGGGATTATCCCTCTAATAAGTAATGATAAATTACAGTTAATATTCTTTTTTACTTTTTGTGCATTTTTCCATCTTTTATTTCAAATACAAGTATAGTTAGCATAAATTTTAGAGCAAATTTGGATGCTCAGAATGCAGGAAATGGCATTTCCGTGGTTCAAATTTCAAAAATTTTCTGGGGGAGTACACCCCCACACACCTGACCATTGCTATCCTCCTCTAATAAGTAATGATAAATGATGGTTAATTTTTTTTTACTTTTTGTGTGTTTCTTCCTTTATTTATTTCAAGTACAAGTATAGTTAGGATAAATTTTGGAGCAAATTTGGATGCTCAGAATGCAGGAAATGACATTTACGGGAGTCAAATTTAAAAAATTTTCTGGGGGAGTACAACAACAGACCCCCCCCCCCCCACCCATGCGTGGTATATTTTCCACACATGTGGCTTTCAGCCATTGCTATATCCCCCTCTAATATATTATCTCACAGAAAGGTCCCTTTTCAAAAAATGCCCCCCACGGGAAAATCCTTAAAAAAGGCCCTGCTTTCCCATTATGTACTTGTATGGTTTCCTTTTATCTTCCTGCCTTGATGACAGGCAGTCCAGGCCGCGATAGCTTAATCGTACGCTACTTTGAGCTTGGATTTTCATACAAAGAAATAATAGCGTTCCTTAGCGCCTATCATAGCATACGAATATCCTTGCGTCATCTTAAAAGGATATTATTTTCAAAGAGATGTTACAGAAGAAAAAATCACTCAAATATTCGTGAAGTTGTTGATGCAGTAGAAAGAGAACTAGATGGAAGTGGTGGTGAAGTTGGATGCAGATATATGCATCAGAGATTGCTCACAAAGCATAAGCTTGTTGCATCAAGAGAGATTGTGCGAAAAATGATAGCTGCCCTAGACCCTGAAGGAGTGAGCCAACGTTCGATGAGAAGATTTAGACGCCGTGTGTACCCTGTAAGAGGTCCAAATGATATGTGGCATATCGACGGATACGACAAGTTAAAACCCTTTGGATTTGCTATACATGGTGCAATAGATGGATACAGCAGGCGAATTCTGTGGCTGCATGTGGGGCAATCGAATAACGACCCTCTAATAATCGCGCAGTATTTTGTAGATTACATTAGAGGCATAGGTGGTACAGCTCGTAGGATTCGTGCCGATTGCGGAACAGAAAACACCCATGTGGCACAAATACAACGTTTTCTACGAAGAAATGATGTTGACAGCTTTGCGAAAGAGAAAAGTTTCATTTATGGAAAATCAGTGGCCCGCAACCAAAGAATAGAAGCGTGGTGGTCTATTCAACGACGTTGGGGAATTAACTGGTGGATTAACTACTTTTAGTTAAAGACCTTCGCGATAGAGGTAATTTTCCGGTTAATTTAGCTACTACAAAACTGTTCAAATCCAAAGGGTTTTAACTTGTCGTATCCGTCGATATGCCACATATCATTTGGACCTCTTACAGAGAACACACGGCGTCTAAATCTTCTTATCGAACGTTGGCTCACTCCTTCATAAGGGTCTATATAGGGCAGCTATCGTCTCTCTTGATGCAACAAGCTTATGCTTTGTGAGCAATCTCTGATGCATATGCCTGTATCCACCTTCACCAACACTTCCATCTATTTCTCTTTCTACTACATCAACAACTTCACGAATATTTGAGTGATTTTTTCTTCTGTAACATCTCTTTGAAGATAATTGATCTTTTTATAAGATGATGCAAGGATATTCGTATGCTATGATAAGCGCTAAGGAACGCTATTATTTCTTTGTATGAAAATCCAAGCTCAAAGTAGCGTACAATTAAGCTATCACGGTCTGGACTGCCTGTCATCAAGGCAGGAAGATAAAAGGAAACCATACAAGTACATAATGGGAAAGCAAGCACAAACCATATCAATATCCGAAGAATCAACTTGTCGCGATCGGCCATTGTGTTTGAAAGAATGGAGAAATGCATGTGATTTTTGATGATCTCTGTCAGAATTTCGAGTTGGGCCTACAAGTCGGTATTCCGTGTTATAAGTCAGAATTCTGCGTTATAAGTCAAAAGTCTGTGTTATAAGTCAAAATTCCGTGTTATAAGTCACAATTCCGTGTTATAAGTCAAAATTCCGTGTTATAAGTCAGAATTCCGTGTTATAAGTCAGAATTCCGAGTAGTTATAAGTCAGAATTCCGTGTTATAAGTCAGAATTCCGAGTTATAAGTCAGAATTCTGAGTAATAAGTCAAAATTCCGTGTTATAAGTCAGAATTCCGAGTTATAAGTCAGAATTCTGAGTTATAAGTCAAAATTCTGTGTTATAAGTCAAAATTCCGTGTTATAAGTCAAAATCCCGTGTTATAAGTCAAAATTCCGTGTTATAAGTCAAAATTCCGCGTTTTAAGTCAAAATCCCGTGTTATAAGTCAAAATTCCGTGTTATAAGTCAAAATTCCGCGTTTTAAGTCAGAATTCCGTGTTATAAGTCAAATTTCCGCGTTTTAAGTCAGAATTCCGTGTTATAAGTCAGAATTCCGTGTTATAATTCAGAATTCCGAGTTATAAGTCAGAATTCTGAGTTATAAGTCAAAATTCCGTGTTATAACTATAAGTTAGAATTCCAAGTTATAAGTCAGAATTCTGAGTTAAATAGTGAAAATTCCGTGTTATAAGTAAGAATCCTGAGTTATATAGTCACAATTCCGTGTTATAAGTCAGAATTCTGAGTTATATAGTCAAAATTCCGAGTTATAAGTCAGAATTCTGAGTTATGTAGTCAGAATTCCATGTTATAAGTCAGAATTCTGCGTTATAAGTCAGAATTGCGAGTTGTAAGTCAATTAAAGGAAAAGTTTCAGTTTAAATTGAATTTGAACAATACGACATCTTATTTATAAATATAAAATGAACAGTCAATTTTTTGGGGGACACAAATTTAAAAAAATATACCATGTCATGGCATGGCACTTCAGAGCCACGGTAGGTATGGGATAAGCCCACGAGTTTTTCTCATAACTAATATTAATAATTTAAATTATTGTTGCCATGGCGCCGTGTTTCCGAATGTTTCAGGAAATTCACACCAGTTTCACGATAGGATTTAGTTAGAATAAGATGGTAATTCCAGGTAGAGCTTTAACTAAGCTGAAATTTCAGCTTGGTATTCGGTATTCGGTATTCAGCACACTGCAAAACAAGATATTTTGATGTCGTCATATTGTAACAGTAAGTTTAATAATATAAATGCCCTCAAGGCCTCAACTCTCAAACATTCTTGCAACACTAAAGTTCGCACTAAAGTATACAAGCATTCCAAACTTGATAAACATTCCTAGGCTACTATACTGTACACTAGCTTGAAAGAACTTCAGATATATTGTTCACACCTGTTATAATTTATGCAAAGTCGTTGGACAAAGCACTTAGCTTTATGCCCCGTTCTATCTGTTTTTTCCAAAATACTGCAAAGTTTGGACTTCTTTTCATTCCTATCTGTCTATAGCTACGACGTGCATTTGCATCTAAATTTCTATACCCCGGGTTCACGGGTTGAACCTACGATTTTGGACATTCTGTTCGCTTGAACTATAATAATCGTTGATGAATGATGCGTTTTTGATACTTTCGATTCACAGCGACACAAGTGTGCACCTCTTACTACTTTAATGCCTGCAGATATACGACAAAACATATTCCGAAAAACATCACGAGGTAAACGCATACAAGATTCAAGTCAAAACAAGACATTTGGTTCCATATTAAAATAGTATTGGGCTATTCCATTTAATATCCGTACCCCGCCTGTCGAGGATACCTGGAATTCTTCAGGGGTAGAGTGTTTTGAGCTTGGAATTCTTCAGGGGTAAAGGATTTTGAGCTTGGAATTCTTCAGGGGTACAGTGTTTTGAGCTTGGAATTCTTCAGGGGTAAAGGATTTTGAGTTTGGAATTCTTCAGGGGTAAAGTGTTTTGAGCTTGGAATTCTTCAGGGGTACAGTGTTTCGAGTTTGGAATTCTTCAGGGGTACAGTGTTTTGAGCTTGGAATTCTTCAGGGGTAGGGTGTTTTGAGTTTGGAATTCTTCAGGGGTAGATTGTTTTGAGCTTGGAATTCTTCAGGGGTACAGTGTTTTGAGTTTGGAATTCTTCAGGGGTACAGTGTTTTTAGCTTGGAATTCTTCAGGGGTAAATGATTTTGAGTTTGGAATTCTTCAGGGGTAGGGTGTTTTGAGCTTGGAATTCTTCAGGGGTACAGTGTTTTGAGCTTGGAATTCTTCAGGGGTACAGTGTTTTGAGTTTGGAATTCTTCAGGGGTACAGTGTTTTGAGCTTGGAATTCTTCAGGGGTACAGTGTTTTGAGCTTGGAATTCTTCAGGGGTACAGTGTTTTGAGCTTGGAATTCTTCAGGGGTACAGTGTTTTGAGTTTGGAATTCTTCAGGGGTACAGTGTTTTGAGTTTGGAATTATTAAGGGGTACAGTGTTTTGAGCTTGGAATTCTTCAGGGGTAGGGTGTTTTGAGCTTGGAATTCTTCAGGGGTAGGGTGTTTTGAGCTTGGAATTCTTCAGGGGTAAAGGATTTTGAGTTTGAAATTTCTGCAGGGGTACCCTATGATTGATCTGAATTTTTTTAACTAACTAACTGCACTCTTAAGGCCGTTTTCCATTAACGTTCGCTAAAAATGTTTTGCATGATTTAAGGTGGCTTAGTTGAAAACAATGTAGTTGTGAAAGGACAAAGGGAAATTCCGCTCCACGTGGAAAATTCCGCCTAGTGGAAAACAAGCTTTAAAGCTCGAGTAATACGAGCAACAAAATTGCTGCAACTTGCAACAAAATCTGATTTCTACGCATGTTAATTGAAAATACTTAACATGCATAGAAATCAGTTTTTGCTGCAAGGTGCAGCAATTATTACTCCACATTTACACCCGTTTTTCTTTTTAAATTACATGGCACATGGGGTTAGGCCAGTTAAAATGAGGAAGCGGAACGAAAGGGGTTAAAGGCGGAACGGAACGAATATGAGGTTAAAACTTAAAACCAATATCCGTTCCGTTCTGCATTTTAACCATATATCCGTCCCACATTTTAACCCCATCCGTTCCGTATTTTAATCCCATCCGTTCCGCTTCCGCACTTTAACCTAACCCATGGCACATGTTTATGTTACGCAAACTACTATAAATAGCAATGTAAACAAAAGACATTTTAAACCGTATCTAACACCCCCCCCCCCAAAAAATAAAAATATATTGAGCCAAAATAAGCTAGATATTATCAGAGAAAAAGAAACAACACACCATCATTTAAACTTGGATAAAACAAAATTTATGATTTTTAAACCTAAACCAAAATTATTGGAATTAGATGTGAAACTACTATTGAATGATAGAGAAATTGATCAAGTGAAAAAAATCGTTTTCTTAGGAATTATTTTAGATGACAAACTTTCTTGGAAATCTCATATTAGTCATGTGTCAATGAAGATTTCAAAATCAGTAGGAATAATACGTAAATCTAGTTGTTTTTTTAAACAATCATTGTTTACAGTACTTTATATTACTCAATGCAATATTGTTTGGGCATCTACGTATGCATCCAACCTGTTTCGTTTGGTAGTTCTTTAGAAACGTATTGTTAGAATTATGAATATAGTACATTTGATTCTCATACAAGCATGATCTTTAAAAATTTTCGATTATTGAAATTTAATGACATATGTAAATTACACTGACATGTCAATTCATGTTCTTGTATAAAAAAATCTTGTACCAGAACATTTAAAAAATATTTTCCTATTAAATAACCAAATACATAATTATAATACTAGAAGAGCAAATGAATTTCACATTGTAACTCCTAGAACAAATCTACGTCAATTCTCTATTAAATTCCAAGTACCATTAATTTTTTCTATAACAGTCTAGACAATACCCTGGGTGCCAGAGGTTCTTCCACGCTCGTAGGGGGATAATGAGGGATACACAAGGATTCAAGCTGGGCGGGAGGCGAGCGGGAAGAACCTTTGGAACACTTCTATCAGTTCTATGGTTTCTCAGATCGAACCGCACCAATCACGATGCTTAATAGTGTGAAGTGATCTAGAATCTGGATCACAGTGTTAATTGGTTAACGGCAGGGACTTGTTAAAACAATGACTTTCATTGGCTGTTTGAACCGTATGTCCTTCTTGGGCACCGCATTATATTCTGCCTGTGAGTTTGTTAGTTTGTTCGCATCAACACGTTTCCTTATTAATCACCTAGTAAAAATTCTTTGCACGTGCTCGAAATTTATTCATTTTTGCGGGAAAATTAATTAATCTTGTACTCTCAGGATCGACTGTTTGCTAGGCTTTATCTCTGGTTTTATGGGCCAAACAAGGACAACAATACCACTGTTTGAATCAGCGTGAAAAGTTGTATATATGGATGGAAAATTGATTTCTATTCTAGCGATATATATGGCCTTTGAAAGACAAGCCGCTCAAAAATAATCCTTCACGTTTTCCAAATTATTTTTTTCGAGGAAAGTTTTCTTTCGAATTAATTTTCAAACGAGAGGGGGTTTGATAATTTAATAAGCCTAATCGGTTTTCTACCAAACCTCCTCTCACATAGGCTTTTAAGTAAATATTTATTATTTTGATTGATAACATTATCTTTTCTTGTTATTATCTAACTTACATTATTTGATACTTTCTGTAAATAATCGTGTGTGACAATTTATTAAACATAAACAAACAAACATATTAAACATAAACAAAACACCTGTGTCATGAGATACTTCTAGAGTTTGAAAATCTCATGATCACATTTAATAATCACTAATCAGTGTTTTAAAATATCTTTATCACATACGGAAGTTAATTTACTGTACGCACGATTTTTTAAACACACGGCCGGTGCATTATATTTCTAAAAATAAAAACAACTGTGAATATGCCAGACAATCCAGATTGTATATAGTTTTGATTGTTTGCTCAGCTAAAAGTAAAACATTATTTCCTTTGCAACATTTGCTAGTCTAAAATATCTTCTTCATATTCGTCCTTGACTGAAGCAACTATAAATTCCATTTGTTCATCTTGCATTGGTGGGCTATCTGATAAATTATCTCCTGTTGCAATGCCATATTGCTCACTGCCCTTGTTCCCAGACGCAGTGTCAATGTTTTGGTTGAAAACCATTGTTGCCTGTTGATTAATAACTTTGTTGTACTGCTCGATTGACCTGACAACATCGCACTGTGCGGATCAAACTGGTCATCAAACTGGTTCTCCAACTCATTCCTTCTTCTTTCTCCATCATGATGACTTATCTCTTCAGAAAATGTTTTGTAGCCCTGGTCTGCTAAAAACTGCGCCTTTTTGAGTTTTTCAGAATTCGTTAATACAGATTTCAAATTTGGACCTCTGTCATTCAGGTTTGCCCAATTTGTGTCAAGGTCTTGAACGTTACTCACTAAAAGCTTAGTTTTCATCAGTGTCCAGTGGACCTCTATAACACCACACCTTTCCTGAAAACCCCAAGTTTCAAAGAATGGATCACGTGAAATTTCTCTTGCTTTCTTCTTGGCAAAAATCATTCGTTCCTTTTCTAGTAATCCAGTCGCATTTTCGATTTCATTGTCACTGTATATTTGACTACCACTTGTACCAGCAATTAGATTTTTTGATTCTGTTTCCTTGGATACACTTGCAGATTCCAGATCTTGCTCACCATCATGTCCATCATATCCAGATATAGTTTCGGTCGACACTTGTGTATCACACTCTGTCTCTAAACCCGTCGTCGTCGAACTTGTTGTGTCATTCTCTGTTGTTTCAGTGATCTGCAGGTCACAAAAGAACGTTTGTGTCTGGTCGGATTTACTAACGCATTGCGCTGCAAGATATTTTTTTTCCTGTTTTCGGTTTAATGGTGTTGCAAACACTACAAAACAGTAATCACTATGAAACAGCTTCGCATTGTCGATTTTTTTTCTTATTTCTGCTAGGGATGTTTGAAGGGTAATGTCTGACAATGTCCCAATAGTTTCTTCAGTATTATATTTTCGTAGATAGAGTTTTACAACCGACATGATGACTGACGAGGAATATTTAAAACGGTCTTTGCACAGTTGCAGTTTGCAGTCCGCATTTTTGCAGGTGTGAAATTTACAACTTTCGAACATCCTGTCTAATAAGCGGTTCTCATTAGCTATCGCTAATTACTCGCAATCTATTATTGGTTAAGCAAAGCAAACGTGTTTTGAAGCAAAATGTAAACAAATATTCTGACACGAAACAGGTCTAACAGGTCAAGCGCTTTATATAAACCCGAGTTTGGTGTGAAGATATAAGAAATATTAAGGTTTATAGGTTAACTATTAATAGAAGATTAAAATGAAAAAGTCAAACTATTATGCGTTGATTCGTGAGAGAGTTATAACTCTTGTTATACACTGTGTATCAATATATAGTTTTAGTTGTCTAGTACGTGTTTCTATTATAAATAAATATGCACGAAAATAAATATTGTAGTTTTTTACCCGGCTTTTACTACCCTGGTTCCAGAGGTTTATTTTTGTATCTGCGCGTAGCGCAGATATATTGCTATCGCGTCAGTCAGTAAAGTAAAGTAAAGTAAAGTAAAGTTAAGTAAGTTAAGTTGTTAAGTCCGTCAACCTTGTTTTGAAGGCCTGTTCGCAGGCTAGAACAGCTTTAAAACAAGATGGCGTCTTTCGAAAAGCTTTCAAGAGTAGTAATCATTAGTAATCGTGGTATTAAACTATTAATAGACTTTATCCTGACTTTATTTTGATAAAATCTTCTTCTATAGCAGTCTTGGACTGATATACAGTAACTCTTACAGTCAAACCGGATGTTCTGTTCCCATGAGTATTGCAACATTGCAATCAATCTTGCAATGTTGATTGCAAATTGCTCCGAGCAAATTACACGCAAGTATTCAACTGTCAATTTTTTCAAGCTCCTATCACTCCCGTGTTGGGGAAAGGGAATAACAAATCAAAAGGACTAATATTGTGCCTACCACTTGACAAATTAAAGGTAAACTGGAATGTATAGAGGATATTTATACATGGTTGTGCGGAAAATATGTAATTTATTTCGAGTGTTGAAGAGAACTATTGCTAACGAGTGAGCGTAGCAAATTGCAAGTTGTTCCATTATGTGATTTAATAATCTAAATTTGTGAGTAAGGTCATGGACATATTGTAATTATTATGAGTATTTACTATTTTATCTTCGTATCAAACCAAATATATAGCATTGCGAGCTTTAATTGGTATTAAACTCTGCCAGTTTGAGAACATATGTTTACATATTTAACTACCGCAAAATAAATCCCTCTTTGGCACTGAATTTTGCATGTTATTTAGTATTTTTGTATCACGTTAAGATCAAAATGGACATATTTCTTGAATAATACTTTTAATCTGTGAAATGATATATATAAAAATATTAGTCCTCATACTTCGTTTTGGATTTGTTACTCAGTTTTGTGATAGATAGGGGTACCAAAGCCTTGATATTTCCAGAGGTATTAGAATACAAAATTAGCCTGTGACAGTATGCTCCTGATTTTACTTCATACTCGATTTGGAGCAACACAAGTTCTACAACAAGAACGTACACGATGTACTGTGCAATTATAAAACGTCGTATTTATAGATATTTGATTGACATGTTTACGCCATGCATTTCATACCGCACGGGTTTTCCCTGAGTTTTTATAAACAGGACCTGCATTTCCGGCAATTGTTTTATGGTTGAATCTTCACGAAACAATTACAAATTTTAAATAGACACGCAAATTATATTTGCGTATATATCTTGACTGTTATTTAATGGAGGCCTCTGAAACTAGGCTAAACTATGAAAACAAAGCATAGGATAAACGTAGCCCTGTTGTTTTAAATGTCAGAAACTATTATTAGCTCATGACTCCATGTACAGACGTCTAATCCCACGTCTTTGAATCCACACATTTTACAGCCTTAATTAATTATTTTCTTTAAATTGTTCTTAAAAGTAATGAACTGTATGAATAGCAGATATTTATCTCCAGATAAAAAGAAACATTTTTGTATGATTGTTATCAGTTGCCGTGATTCGGGATATAAATGGTTCTCGTCCTCTTAATTTAGAAGTCACTAGTTAAATGTAAATATTATATCTGAAGCAGGCATATAATTTCAACTAGCACAATTTCGCACAATTGCTGTAAAAATGTCATTTCGAGAATGCACCATCAATGAATGCGAAACATTTCTACTTACTGCGAAAGCGGACAAAGTGGGACAATTCAATACAATCGCTCATGTGCAACCACCGTATTTCGCAGACACAAGCTCTCGCGACGAATTTCGCCGTCGTGGAATCAGACCTTAAGATTCAGACACACCGGACGCGCTTCGACAACGCGACGCGATTTTTCAGTATAATTAGTTTGAAAAACAGCCAATGAGAGCAAATCAGTTACAAACATATGTAGACCAAGTAACTTAGAATGTTATAGCGCTTCTAAATATTTGGAAAATATAAACTTGGATTAAATTTAACGGTCAGTGAAAATCGAAAAATCGCGTCGCGTTGTCGAATCGCGTCCAGCGTGTCTGGACCTTTAATGCGCAGATACATGTACGCGGTCGCGTACCTATTTTTATTATTTTCATTGCGACGGGAGGCTTTTACATGAATCCGCGAAATTTAAGGTGTTTGCAGTTAGGGCATGGGATCATTTTTAGCTGTCAGCCTGTGTGTCATTAAAGCATTGGAATGTTTTTGAATAACATAGTCAAGGGAATTATTGCAAAAGTTTCCTACTGTATGTACTATTTACAACATGTGCGGCCGTGTTGTATCGGATATACAAACTCGAGCCGAAGGCGAGACATGGCTTAAAAAACGACTCATCTTATGCGTTCATTGGCGAAGTAATTTCAAAAATAAACGTTGTCTAAGCCGAGAAAATCAAAGTTAAAGTTTATGTAAATCAATATGAATTTGTATCACAGATACGACACGCTTATGATTTTTCTTTGTGTATGAAGTTGTAAATTTCAATCTGCTAGTGCGGGGCGGGGCCTGCGGGCTATTATAATACATGGTCTAGACAGCGGCAGGTATTTTCCGCGGGTGGCGGGTAACGGGTAGCGGGTGATGGGTAGCGCATGCGTAGCGGGTGGCGGTAGTTCTTGAACAAATAAACAGTGTAGCGAAGTTTGGCACAAATACCGATATTTCTGGAGATTTTCAACCACAGTGACAGGCAAAGCCAAAGGCACAACTGTATCTGAACATGATTTCCAAGCTGCATTTAGGCGTCTTGAAGTGGTGATTCACACGAAATTTGGTTTCTCTCGTCTTTAACAACATGGCAATAGCCTTTAATATTTGGTTTAAATAATTATGCTCTTAGGTCTGGCTTAGTTCGATATAAATAAACACAAATATAAAACCTCGGGTATTAATTACCTGTTTACGCTGCATGTACAGTGAATATACAGTTCGCTTCGATTGCCGGACACCAATGCTTGCATACAAATTTTATCCCTTTCACAATCTTCGTTTTATTTTATCGTATAGTCGCAATTTTCAAGTATTCGTGGTACTCTGAAACTGTAAAACTCGGTGGCGTGACAAATCTTGTAGAGACTACATCGGACTAGGCGTAGAGCTATTAAGTAAACCGGGCCTAAATTAATTTAATAGTTTCATTTAATTGTTTGTCTTGCTTTTACTTGTGTCGATCAGTATAGAATATTGTAAATTAAATATTACTACAATGCAATACGCGTAGTATTTCATCCGACATCTGCACTACATTATAAATACTGAAAACTACGGGCACCTCTATGAAGCAAATTTTTTTTTACTCGAAAATTTTCGGCGACCTACCCCCCCGTCGCCAAAAAAATTTCGGTCAGTGTACAATTTTAGGGGTCAAAAAATTTTTCCGGACATATCAAAAGTCGGATATAAACTATAAATTTCGGTCAGTGTACAATTTTAGGGGTCAAAAAATTTTTCCGGACATATCAAAAGTCGGATATAAACTATAAATTGTCTGAATCTCATGATTTTCGTACAAAAAGCATCGTTGTAAATGTGATTTATCACGTACTATTTTACAACTAAAAGGGCACTTCTGCCCCCCT